ATAGCGCGGTGATGGACGGGGTCAGTTGGAGCGGCCGGGGGCAGGGGTGGGGGGCCCGGTCGGCCACCTTGCCTTATTTGGTTGCCTTTGCACCACTGAGGAGCGCCGAGGCCATTCATGGAGCCGAGGGCAGGGGAGAGGATCAGCCAGGGGGCCCCAGACCATGTAAGGAAGGGGAGGGGGCAACCAGGGGGATGGCCAAATAGGGAGCTAGGGAGGGGCAGGCGGTGAAGGGTAGGGGGCAGGGGAAGACTGAGCGACGCCAGCCCACCCCTCCGCCTTCCTGGGTGGGGGTGCTCCCTGGGTGTGCTGTGGGCTGGTTCTCCCGCAGCCCCGCCAGCCTCAGAGACAATAAGCCACACCAAGTGGGAAGCCTTGGCGCCCTGCCCTCTGCTGAGGGGTCCCGACAGCTGGCCCAGGGCAGCAGGGGAGTGACAGCAGCTTCTCATCTTCCAGGACTGGGAACTGGAGGAGCGGAGCCCTGGCAGTCCTCCTGGGCCCAAAGGGCGCCACAGCAGCACGTTTGGGTGGCCAGAAAAGGGGTGCCTGGGACAGGGCACCCTCCTGGCCTAGTTCCCACAAACCTGCATGACTTAACTTAGAGGGCTGGGGCTGTGCTCCTCTAGGGCAGAGAGCTGAGACCAACCAAGGCCATCGTGGTCCCCAGTCTATGCACGGGCCAGGGGCTGGTCCGGGAAGAGACTAGAAAGAGCTACTGTGAGAGCCGGCCAAGTCTTGCTGGAGGAGAGGGCAGGTTTACCCCCGCCCAGACATCAGGTGGCTCTCCTCCATGCTTCGAGGGCTTTGCTCAAACTCGGACTCTATCTTTAGGCCAGAAGAGGATCCCTTGCTGTCAAATGAATGAAGGAATAAATGCCAAACACTGCTTGTCCACTTGCTGTTGGACAGGCGAACATCCATAAACTGCGGGCAAAGGCCTCTATTCCAGGTGGAGACAAGACTGAAAGAGATATGTTCTTGTCAAGAAGATAACAGCCACCTCAACCGTGACGAAGATACGACATGGGCACACAAAATCGTCATAACGAGGAACGAGTTAGAAATGCAGAATCTCAGGTCCCCACCCCAGAACTATTGAATCAGAATCTGCGTTGGAGCAAGATGCTCAGGTGACTCATATGTACAGTGAAGTGTGAGAAGCACTGGTATGAATGATATCAGCTTCTTTGTGGAAACATTTTGAAGGATCTTGGGACTTTGGAGAAGGGGATGAAAAGATGGCATGAATCAAGGAGAAGAGAAAGGAACAGAGAGACATAAGAAGGACATAGATCACTGGCTTGCCCTGGGGTGCCCTGTAGTCTCAGTTCTTGACTGGCACTTTGATTTTTAATGCCTGTGTTTTCCCTCCTGTTCACACCAGTTAAAAATAGAAAACTGGGCACAGGCATCCATCTCTGGAGTGGTCTTGGATTGATATGCTAAGGAGGCCTGCTGATTAGATACTTGTCCAGACTGGGGAATGCTGGGCCCTCCCCCTTCAGCTCCCCGACCATGTTTGGGTTGGTCTGGAGAAGAAAGTGTGGGGACAGCTGGGTGATGGAGCCAGGTGAGGGTCACTCCAGCTGGGATCTCACTCTGCTGTATGGTAGGCCTTTTTCAATGAAAATGCCCTTTATAGGATGCAAAGAGCAGAGCTGCTTTGGCTCAGGCAGATGGAGAAGAACCAGGACAAAGGACAAATGGGACTGGTGTGACAGGCAGACCGTCCTCTGAATCCTGCCTCTGTCACTTACCACCAATTATTTGCTCTTGGCCAAGTCACTTCGCTTTCCTAAGCCCCTATTTTGCCCTCTGAAAAAGGACACAGTAACTCTTTTCAGGCATCGCTTATTAGCTATTGTAATAGAGACAACCGATCTAAGCCGCGTGGAAGATGCAAGGGCAACCGTATAACTTGTAGTGCAGTAACAATGGTAGTTTCGGAGTGGCCGTGGCACTCACCTTGGAAGATTTGGGTCAATTTCATTCATTTAGTGATTCAGCAGATATTTCTGGGACAAGAATTGATAGTCCCTGGGAGATAGAGTGATCAATAAAACAGAGCAGGACTCCTACTGCGGAGCAGTTACAGAAAAGTACGAGACAGTTGGGGTCCATGCAAAGAGGGATTCACAAGAGGGTTCAGAAAGCCTTCCTGGGGAAGTATTTTTAAAGTAGAGTAGGACTGAAGTTCACGAGCATTTGTGTGAAGGAGTTTCTCCCTGGGAGTGGGTGATGGCAGATTCCCACATTCACTGTCGTAGAAGTGAAAAGAACTCCTGGAGAGTCTAGCATATCACCAAAAACCACGGTTAGCTCCTGATCGTTTGCAAATACTTCCAGGCCTCAGGAGGCCAATTCCAGCCGATTCTCTAGTCATCTGCCCTGGAGCGGGAGTGGGCGGCCGGGGTGGGGTGAGGGGAGGTAGGTCGGGGCAGTCCTGAGACCAGTATCGTGAAATAATCTTCACCCTTCAAATGTTTTAAAAACATTTCACTTTTTTCCCCTTACAACGTATATTTTCTTACGTATTATATTTATGCTAAGAAGAACACTTGTTTTCCTTAAAGCTCTGTGATGGTTGAATATTTGTTCATTGTAATACTGCTCCCTAGTCATAAGTCAATGGGAAAATAAGAGTTAATGGCTGTTTTTCATTTGACACAAGTTTTCAGGGATCCATTTAATTTGAAAATTAAGATTGAGTTCTGTCACATCTACTTAAGTATATGAAAATGACTTTTCTGTGGTGCTTTCTAGATAATTCCCTTTTTTAAAAATTGGGGTAAAATATACATAACATAAAATTTACCGTCTTAGCCCTCTAAAATGGTACAGTTCAGTAGGGTTAAGTACATTCACATTGTTGTGCAGTCCATCTCCCAGTTACATTTTTGGATGCAAATTGTGACTAAATGGATTTACAGACCCTGGAATGGCTGTGCCCTGGAGTCTGAGTTTGTACCCGATGAGGTAGGGAACCATGGTGCCTGCTTTGCCCGAGGTCACGGGGTCGAACACATGAAAAAGCGAGACTTCAAATCCAGGCACCTGACTACACCCCAATCCTAACCACCACCCCAAATGTCTTCCAGTCTACTTGGATGGCTGTTTCTAGATGCAACCAAGTTATCTGGGCTGCCTGATAGAAATTCACATTCCCAGGTTTCACCCTGGAAGAGTGAACCTGCATTTTAAGCATCACAACCCCTCCTCCCCAGGTAATTCACAGAGGGAGAAACTTGGCAGCGCTGCCCGGCTGCTCTTCCCCAGGCCTGCTGAGCTTTGCTGAAGGCTGCCCAGGCTGCCTGCACTGGCCCCAGTCCAGCTGGGCTGACCTTGAGCATCCCAGCGGGATGGCAAAGGCCAAAGCCAGGGCGTGTCCCCAGGGCTCTTGAGGGCCAGTGAGTCCCCTCTGGGCAGGGACAGGCCACGAGGGAGACGTGCCGGGCTAGCTGAAGGAACAGAAGGTGGGACAGTTCCCGCTGCCCTTGCCTCGAGGGAAGCCTGTTTCATCCACCATCTGCTGGGATCTGGAAGGGAGCGGCCGGCCTCCTCCCGGCGCTGGGGGATTAGCAGTCACTTATCTCAGCTGTTCCTCCATTCCGAGGTGTCGCCGTATTTACAGAGAAGCCAGAAACAGACCCAGCCACACTTAATTCCTCCCCAGGAGCCCTCCCCAGCTCCTCTGCGGCCCCTCCTGCATTCCACGGGCTAGGAGGGAGGGGAGGCTCGGGCTTCGGGAGCCAGGCTTCCTAAACATTTCTATTTTCTTTTCCTACACATTTGTTCACTCCCACTGCCCTTCGGCAGGAGCCGGGTTTCAGTTTTCATTAAAAGAAGAAAGTGACGTGACTGTGAGGGATGCCGGCCCCCACACATCCTGGCACTCAGAATTCAATACCCAGCCATGCCTCATCTCCACTACACGCTGGCCCATGTTTTACATGCTGGCCCATGTTTTATATGCAACCACTAAGAGATTAACCCAGGGGGAGGGTATTTCAACAAATGGATTCTGTTCTCTGCTGATTCTGGCAGTCACTGCCTTCTGACATGATAGGACCAACTGTGATGAACCATTTAATGAGATTTAGAAAAGGAGGGCAAGACAAGGAGGGCGAGGGAGGGAAGGGGAGCAGAGTCTAGAAGGGAGGTCCTTCTGAATCTCGGAGTCACCTGGGCCTAATGATGGACAAGCCAAATCTTCACTCTCTTCTATCCTGGTGTAAGTCCAGGAAATCCTAGGGTTTTTTTTTTTTTCCTTTTATCTGAAGTACAGTCAGTTACGATGTGTTCATTTCTGGGGTACAGCATAATGTCCCAGTCATGTACATATATACATATATTCATTTTCAGATTCATTTTCATTATAGGTTACTGCAAGATATTGAATATAGTTCCCTGTGTTATACAGAAATTTGGGTTTTTTTTAAAATCTATTTTGTATATAGGATTTCTAGTAGCCTTTTTAATTCCTTAAAAGGAGACTGTCCTTCAAGAATGAAGTGCTGAAGCTCACAGGTTCCTGGATGGAAGGTATTCCTCTCAGCTCAGATTTGCCTCACTCCCTACCCTGGCAGGAACTATTTATGGAGTTTCGGCTTTTCAAGTGTTACCTGGAGCAAGCCTGTCTTTCCTGGAGAGCCCAAAGGTGGCATTGCCTGACCTGAGCCTGGCGGCGTTCTATGCTTGCTCAAGGGTTAGAGGGCTGGCGTGGGAGGTGAGAGCTGTGAGCTCAGAGATGCTCCTGCTGGGCACGTTCTGGCCGCTGCACGTGTGGGGCCCACCTCTTCCCCACCAAAAAGTAGGCACGCATCTGAATCACAACCGTAGGAGCAGCAATGCTACTTGCTAACATTTCTTAAGTACCTATTGGGGTCCATACGCTATCCTGAGGCTTAGTGTGTATACTCGGCCAGCTTCTAGATGCAGCTGGACTGACTGCAGCCTGCAGAATCCATTTTTCACAGAACTGTTCTTAGATATGATGCCACCTGCTTATATGGAGGGGCTGGGGAAGAAGTAGGTCACCGTCTCTACTGCAAGGGTGTTGTCATGTGTGTTCATTATAGGATTCGGCCTTCTTCATCAGCCTCTGGCTCTAGCACCAAGAACAACAGGACTTTTGCCAAGTGGCTGGTTTGTTTTGATCCTTTAGATCCTGAATCTAGTGACCAACCAGGTTTTTCCGGTGGTGGTCACTAACCCCAAGAAAAAAATCTTAGAAAACTACAGTTGTGGCCCAATTGTTAATACGGTTACAAATCATTGTGGTCCATCTTACACACTCGCCTCTTATTTTCTTGTTTTTTCATTGTTCTTTTTCTTTTGTTTTAAATTTAGATTTTGAAAAACTTTTTAAATATTAAAAATTTTATTTGTCTATCTATCTTTGTAAGCTGCTATACATCTTTTGTGAGAGTAAAACAAAGGATGGATGGATAGATAAAGTGAACTTATGAGGACACTGGAGAGGATATTTGACATTGAAATTGGGGTGATCACTAGACAAGTAGCCAAGGGTCCAAGATGTCGTGCTTATGTCTGCAGGGTTCTCCTATCCCAGTGCAATCGTGTATCGCTTACTGAAAACACCCTTTGCCTGTAAGGGATTGTATCATTTTCATTTTCCCCTTAACATCATGGTAAGTATAGCTGGCAATCTTAAATAACATTTCCCTCACTATAAAAATAGTAAGTGCTTATTGTGGTAAACTAGGAAACACTGAACAGAAAAGGGCAAAGAGAATGACATGTCCGGTTGAATTTTTTAAAGCCCTATATTTTAACCTCCCTAAAATAAAACTAAATGTGACATAAAATTCCTGAGACCTTGGCTTCCACATCTACTCATAGCTGCTGGGCTGAGAAAAGACAAATAGCCTCCTATTCTGGTCGTTTGTAAGAAGGTCCACTTGCTTCTCAAAGAGAGACATGCAGTACAAGGGATTTACATTAAAAGCATTTTTTGGTTTTACTATTATAATCCAAATTATCTCTAGTCAACAGCTGGAACCAAAGAACGCCAAACTGGGAGCAGGCTCTGCCCTGGGGATTACAGCATCCACATTTCACTTATATATTTTAGAGGGTGGGTCTCAGTTGCCAATTCAGCTGTTGAACTCTTTCAGAACTGCAGTCTAAAAACAGGACTCATTCACGCATGTAAGACTAAACCACGTAAATATATTGCTGAAGGCTTTGTCTTCAGGTAGTGGGGTCTGAAGGCAGTTGTTTTAGGGAACACACTTAAAAGATATTTTATGATCAGTATTTCCAAACTCCTCTTGGTTAGGACTACAAATAACCAACTCCTCTTACCTTTATAGCCTCTAATTTAATTTCATGAATTCAAGAAAACAAAAATAGAGGCTTTGCCTAAAGGCAATCACCTGTGTTAACCAGAGGCAGGAAACAGAAATTGTCCCTCCAGAATAAAACCAACAGAAAAGCCTCCTTGAACTGATACTTGAGTGCAAATTCTGGTTCTCACAAATAAAAAGGTCTCTGTGCCTATGGCATTTCAGAGACAAGCCAGGTTTTGAGAAAGAGAAGAGAAAAGAATCCACAGTTAAGCCATGACGCAGCTTTGAAAAAATGACCAGAACAATCTTGAGAATATGACCCAAGGGAAAGTTTTATATCACCAATTACCTACAGGGATTGGTAATCCTGCTTATGGGTGAACAGGAAAGGTGCCCTCCATTCAGGTAACCCTTTTGCAAACTCTATTTAATACTCTGTTTTCCAGGGAGAGGCTCCAATTGCTGTTTAATATTATAGTTCAAAATTTGTAACTGTCACAAAAGATGTGTGCTGTGCTCATCTCTCCACCAGTGGGTATGGCCATCTTTTCTCTGTATCCTTGGTCCAGAGCCCACAGACTGACACAATTGGTCACTTCTGTGTCCCCTCCAAGGAGCACATTGCTAAACCACTGGCCCAAGTTGGTGGGTGAGAATGAGGAGAGAGGGTGGGGAGATGGTGATACGGGGAGAGACCAGTATCCCCTACACCCTTCCCAAGAGTTTCTATCTGAACAGAAAACCGACCATGATAAATCAGAAACCCACGTAGATACCGGTACGGGGCTGAGGCTTTGCTCCCACACCAGGCAATGGAAAATTTTAGGTGATGGTGTTCATTTTGCCCAACTCAGGGATGTGGGCCCCAAATGGTAATGGAAATGGCAATGCTGATCCCAAGAAGCAGAAAGCCTTGTTTATTAGCACAGCTCCAGTGCTCCAGAAGTTCCCCTACCCCTGCCTAAAGAGCAAACCCGAATATGTTGTTCTGCCTTTGTGTAGTAAGATTTTTCTTTGATCAGGAAACTAGCCTTTATTCTGCCTACCCTGACGGCTGAAATGCCTACCCCCTTTCTCACCTGGAACATGTTTGTGTGAATCTGAGAGACTGTGTTGTGGCTCCAAGTTTAGTTGCTTCTGTTCCCTCTGTTTCATAGGGAGGTCACTATGGAGAGAGTAAACGCACCTTCCCAAAATGTCTGATTCAGTCACAAGCACGTAGACAGTATTTTTAAACCCTTAACGTTGATGTTGGGCAACTGCTGAGAATAAATGGATGCTCTTTGTTTCCTCAGATATTTGCGGGTGGAGAAGGTCTAGATAACATTTTATAATGTCACCACCCTGAGACTGATGCACACCAATATACCTTTTACCAAAAAAAAAAAAAAAAAAAAGTGTCACACTAGGAAAACACAGTACCCGGTTGTCAGAGCTCGTGTCATTTCCCATAAAGTAACTTTCACCCTCCTAGTCTCTCTGCACATTAAATTCTCAGCATCAGCCAAGAAGATATTCAGTCCTCAGTGTCTGATTTTGAACAAAAGGCTTCACAGAATTTCTCTGGGAGATTCAGGCTTGCTTTCACCTATGTGGAAACTCAGACGTGTCCTTGGTCTCTCATTTTACGAATCACTTAGCAAAATATTTGAAATGAATTCACTGATTGGAAAAAGCACGATTTAGAAATCAGAAGCCAAACAGAATCACAATAGTGATGCTTGTTTTGTGAACGTAGATACGAATAAGAGGAAGAATCCAGTTTTGTGGCTAAATGGGGTTTCCTTGAGATCAAGATGTGGTTTATTCCCTCGCTGCCTTCGTCTTGCTTAAGCAGTGGAGATTTCTACATAATAACCTCCATCTCCTTGAAGAAAGACTGAGTGTTATTTAGGACCTTTTCCTCCTGTCGTGCTATTTTTAAAACTGTCCTCATAGTTGGTCGATTATCTAACTCTGCTCCAAGATTTCCATGTAGAAAACTTTTAGCCAAATTGGTTAGATATTGGGTTTCTGGTTATGTGGAAAACAACCATTGTTTGGAGAATTAAACTCATCTAAGTACTCCCACACAGAACTACAGAGAAGATAATTTAATTTTCTGTGATGTTCCAGAAGCTATTTACAGAGTAGTCTCATTTTGTACCTGAGTTCTTGTCACACACTATGGCATAATATATATGACAGATGTAGAATACTGAGCTAAACTAAAATGATGACATGCTGAAAAGTTGCTTATATGAATTAATTGCTGGTGTCAGCATACCTGTTATCTGTTTATTCCTCTTAAAAATCAAGCATAGATCAGACTTCTGGTTCTGGCCAGGATAGAGCATCCTGTTCCTCCCAGGTCTCCCTCTTACAACTGGGGACTTAATACAACAAGCAAACAGAGGAAGACTCCAAGCAGGAAAGATGAAGGTGGACTGCTAGGGGCTTTGGGACAGTGATGAGTGATGAGTTCTTCAGGTCTCTTTATTGTCTTCCGTATACCCCAGACAGGAACCATAGTGGCCTCCATCCAGGACCTGCCAACAGACAAAGATAAATTAAGTTCTGTCTCCTTCTCCAACCAAGGAACAAACGAAAGAGTGGTCTCACAATGGAAAGCCTTTTTGGCCATACCTGCCCTATTCTAGCCAAATACTAATGGGAAAATTGCCCTCCTCCCCCGTTTCAGTGGGGCAGTGGGGAGCTGATCTCCTTCCCATCCTACCCCTGCAGAGGCAGCCAGGGGTACTCCCATTCTCTTGCCTGGTGGTGTTGGAGGGACCGGTCAGGGAGCTGATCTTACTTTTCCTGCCTGTTAGAAGCAGGCAGTGCTCCCGTTCTCCCTCCAGGGTGGTGACAGCCAGGTGGCATAAAGGATCCTTGCGATGGAACTGTTCTGTATTTTGGTGGCCATATGAATCTATACATGTAATAGAATTATAGCACTAAATACACACACACACGAGTGCCTGTAAAAGTAGAAGTGGTGATACCTGAATGCTGCTGATGGACTGTATCAGTGTCAATTTTCCAGCTATAATATGGTTCTGTAGATATACAAGAAATTACCACTGGGGGGAACTGGATGAAGGGTACATGAGATCTCTGGGTTATTTTTTATAATTGTGAATCTACAATCCTCTCAAAATATAAAAGTATTGAAAATAAACTATAAGGTGCACCCTCAAAATCCAGTTTTTGTTTTTGGTTTTTTTTTTCAGTTTTCCAATCAGTTTGATTCTGAATGAATTAGTTCCCATGTTCCCATGAGTCCCCATGTTCAGGTTACCATAGTTATGAAATTTAATTACCAGTTGCACTAAATATATCACATTCCCTATATTTATAGAAAGGGTGCTGGCTGGCCGAGTTTGGATCTGGCAGGTGGAGTTAGGCGCCATTGAGGCCGAAGAGGTTCCAAGGTCCACGGGCACGTCGATGAAGCAGGAGCTGATGACAGCAGGCAAACCACAGCATGATGGAAGAGCCCAGAAGGAGAGTTCATACTTACTTAGGGTGGAATCTGGCACAATGAGCAGCCTCAGCAAAAGGGCCTGGAGACTGGAGAGGAGTCATGCTTCTGATTAATAGCGTGGTAACTATTTACAACATCCCAGCTGAGCTACTCCCAGAGAGAGTGAACACCTGGAACTGAAAGGCCTATTTTGCAAACAAAGAGAGCCGCCCCACCGTAAAAGAGCAGGACTTAGAGGATGGGAAGTCAGTTCCTGCTCTGGTCTGGATCCCCAGCTGAGCAGTGAAGGATGTTTAGCCTAAGACACACACCAGGAGAAGGCATCTATGAGGCCTGGGGTGTTGGCAGCCGGGAGCAAGTGGCACAGGCTGGGCGAATGCTGGCGAGGGTCGACTAGGCATGGCAGCAGCCAGAAAGCACAGTCCACACCCTATCCTGAGCCTCTGTGAGATACCCTCAGGGGCTCTGGGAAATGTTAAAGAGGTGGGCACCTAGAAAAGGCAGGAGTGTGTGAGGGATGGGGAAGGGAACCATCAGTTTTGCAGGAAGGGCCATCAAGCAGACAAAAATCTAGGCCAGTTGTTCTCAATCTTGGCCACACGTAGAATCACCCGGGGAGCTGATGGCTGGGGATTCCCTCCATAGATTTTAATTTAATTGGTCTGGTTGCGCCTGACATTTGGAGATTTTTTTTAAGCTCTCCAGGTAATCCTAATGTTTAGCCAAAAGTGAGAACCATTAATCTAATCGTGTGCTTCTCAAACTTTAACTTCCATCAGAATCACCTGGAGAGCTGGGTAAACCTCAGATTGCTGGACCCCGTCCCTAGAGTTTCTGATTCAGTAGGCCTGAGGTGGAGCATGAGAATTTGCATTTCTAAGACACTCCTGTATGATGCTGGTGCTGAAGGAACACACTCCTTGTGGCACTGACTTAGGGCAAATGTCTCCTGAGATGACATCTATATCCACCAGGTAGTGTGGGTGCTGGAGACGCTGGATACTGAGAAGCAGTTTAGAGGAAGAGCAAATCTATAGGCTCAGAAAAACCTGAGCCTCACCACTGCCTCTGCACTTATTAACTATATGATCCTAAAGAATTTACTGAAATTTTCTAGACACAAATTTTCCCATCAGGCAGACCAGAAAAATTGTGGCATCTACTCGTAAGATTGTTGCAAATAATTAATGTTTAAAAAGTGTTTTCATCATTGATAGACATATTACATACATTGTAACAATTTAATCCCCAACCAGGGTTCAGAGAAGTTAAGCTACTTGTCCAAAGTCACACAGCTATTAGGATTCGGTTAGAATTTGAACACTAGGCAATCTGACTCCCAAACTCACGCAACGGGAAGAGACCATCAGGAGATCCAGACACTGAAGTTATCTGACATGTATGTTAGATACATTTTTTAAAACTGATTAATATGTTCAAGAAAATAAATGGAAAAGTCGAGAAATTCATCAAATAGGAATTTATGAAGAAAGAATCACATGAAATTCTAAAACTAAAAAACAGAATAAATGATAACTTGGATGAATTTAAAAGCAGATTGACACAGTTGAAAAGAGGATTAATGAGCTTTAAGGTAGGTCAATAGAATATATTCAGACTAAAGCATAGAGAACAAAAGAAAGCAAGGTTAGTTTAACGTGTAAAAATCAATTTATGTCATTCAGCACATTAACAGGATACAGGAGAACAATCATATGATTTATCCAATATATGCAGAAAACACATTTGAGAAAAGTTAATATCCATTCATAATAAAGGCTCTTAGCAAACAAAGAGCAGGAAGAAAACCCTTAATCTAATAAACAGTATCTACATCAAAGCTACAGCAAACATTATATTTTATCTCTTGTTTCCTGAGATTGTAAAGTAGACAAAGATGCCAGCTAGCATCACGTCTGTTCTACATTATACCAGGGCTTCTAAGCAGTACAGTAAGGCAAGAAATATAATAAAAGTTATAAAAACTGGAAAGGAGGAAACAAAGCTGTCATAACTGTGAGTGTAAAAAACACAAAGGGATTCAGAGTCAAAGTAATTCAGTAAATGAACGTAACAAAGTCAGTGAATTAAGGGGCAATATACAAAAACCAACTCTGTATGCCAGCAATAAACCAATGGAAAAATAGCATTTAAAATATGCCATTTAAAATAGCATCAGAAAACATCAATACCTAGAATCAAAGCCAATTAAATCTATTTAAGACCTCTATACACAAAGCTGAAACATCAGCGCAATATGTTAAAGACCTGCATAAATATCATCCCTCATCTTTCCTGCCAGAGCATGCGTCTCCTTTTCTTCTGATCTCTGCAAGCAAGCCCTTTTAAAAAATCTTTCTAGCCCAGGGCCAAGCCAACTTGATTCCCAGCACAAGAATAACTCCTTCCCGTGGCCTCACCCCTAGCCAGCCCTGCTCTCCCGACTCCATCTTCTAATGGATACAGGTTTCTTGTTCTATATAGATTGCAGGTCATAAACCCACGCGCCTCAGTCAGGTGCCTTTACTATCTTCTTTGTGCTTACCCTTTTTCTCTTTTTGAAATGTAGGCTTCCGAAGTCCAGGAACCATTGTGTATTATTTCCCTCACAGCCTACTAATGAGTTATAGTTTTTAAAAAATATATTTTAATTCTTATTTTTTATTGAAGTGTAGTCAATTTACAATGTTAGTTTCACGTGGACAGCAAAGCAACTCAGTTATACACACTAAGGAGTTACAGTTTTGATTGAGTGAAGCTAAGAAAAATAAAATGGTTTTTAAGAACGTTATTTTAATCTGTTTTTTTTTAAAGTTTTATTCCATATTTTGGCTCTTAAGGATATTTGGATGTGGAAAAAGCTATTTAAAAATTTAGTTGCCTTTGCTATTGCTTACTTTCAACTCACCTTTTTGGTAGTCTTGAAAAACAACCAAAGGATGATAAATTTTCTGAGCAATGAACTGAGAAGGAATTCTTATCCTATGATAAATCTTCTCCAGATTCTGTTGAGTTACACTAAAAAAAATTAAGGTATGTAAGTTGGGGGAAGGAAAGGAGAGGGTACGTAGCCTGGGTGTTCACATATAGCAGTGTGTCAATACTGTGGGGAATAATTTAACCTTGGCCAAACAAAGAGGGGAAAATCATGAGTGTATTAGAGACCTATGCTGACTTGTCCCCCTGCCCTGCCTCCAGAATCAGAGCCAGATTCCTCTCCTGTGCTAATTTATGGATTTTCTCTAGTAGAAAGTAGGATGTGAATCTCACCTCCAAAGTGAATTTGAGATACTCAATTTAGGGACTACGTGGAAACAGAAATAAAAAGCAACCAACTCACAACCAAAGTTCTTTTCATTAAAGTGTCAGAACGTCTTTCAAAGCTGATGTCTCCTATTTCATATAAATGAAAAGAAAATCAGATGACACGAGGCCAGGAAAATAAACACCGTGGTTATAATTAGAAGCTCTTCCAGAGACCTGGTCACGTCTGTGTGTGATATGATAGAGTCTGAGCATTTTGTGAGAGACCAGGAGGCAAAAAAAAAAAAAAAATCCTCTTTTCAAGAAAGAGCCCTGCACATGTAATAAAAATGCCCACGGGGTCAGGCCACCCCACTACCCAGCGGGGCTGCCGTGGGGACACTGGAGTGTCCAGGAAGTGGTCTGGGAAAGTTTACCCTGCTCCCTTCTCCCAGTTCCCAAAACTATATCCCTTTCTGTTTAACTAATTAGAGGCTCATTGGGGATTATCAAGGTATTTATTTTTTCCCCTTACCCCAGTAAGAGTAAGCCTATTGTATTACAGATACGCATTACTCTTGCTTTAATTAGGTTTTATGCAATTTGATCATCTAAAAGCAAAGATTTAGACTGGAACCAAAGTCAGTTGATCCTTTTTGCTGGCTTGAGCTGGCTGGTTGTGCTGGTGATGCTGCTGGTATTGTCACAATGTCTAGTTTTAGAACAGCAAAGAGAGAAGAATGTTAACTGGCACAGGGGAGGCATACTCAGAAGACGACTGAGGAACTTGGCAGTGGAAAGAAGATTTGGGAAGGGGGAAAAATGTGTATTATTTTTATCAAGTGCCCTTCTGCAGGCAACTGTTGACTGTCTTAGGTCTCCATAGCTGGGACTCTGCAATGGATAGACCATAACTCCTAATATTTATTTGAAAAAAAGTGTAAGACACAATCCCCAAGGACTTTGTCCAGACAATCAGTGTTGAATGGAGAAAGAGGCTACTACAGGCTGGAGTGATCAGGGAAGGCTTCCTGGAGGAGATAGCATTTGGTCTTGGGGTCTTAGTAGAGTTGACCAGGAGGACAGGAGAGGGAGTGAGATCCCAAACAAGAGAAAAAGTAAAGTCATAGAGGTGGGAAAGTTCAAGACATTTTCGAAGGAAACTAAGGAAAGTGGCCTGGCTGAAGCAGAGATGTTCAGGGATATAGTTTATTAAGTGCATTTGACAGTTTAATTAAAAGGAGAGATAGAGAAATTCATTCCAATGACATGCTTCTTGAGCAGAAACTTGTTTTTTAACCAAAAATAATGATCATATCAGAAGCACAAGGGTAAACTGAAGTCACCAGAAACGGTGACTTGGGTTTGGATGCAAATATAATAAGAATTAAACTCATATACATGGGATTGATAAAAAGCTCCCGCCTTAGATGAACCCGCCACATACCTTCTCCAGGCTTATACCCCAGTGGGTGAACACTTAACCAGGACATTTCACCTCATACAGCAACAGCTGCCCAGTCATATTTCTCTAGTCAGTTCACGATTTTATTCTCCGTATTAGTTGACACCCTTTCCATTTCCTTCAAACCTTCAATGAGACAGCTCACTGAGGGCCTCACGTGTCCTTGTTAAGGACGTTGGTCTTTATCTTAAGAGAAATTAGAAGATATCAAAGGATTTAAACAGTGAAATGGCAGGTTTAGAGGAAGGAAGAGGGTGCTATGGCTTCAGAGAAGGAGGTTTGTTACAAGAAGGGCAGCAAAGGTGACAAGTGGAAAAAGGGGGGCGATGGGGGAGTGTGCGCGGAGGGGTACATGCCCCTCTGATGCGCTGGTGGCAGACCTCAGGGAGAAACCAGGGGAGGCGGAGGGATGAGACATCTGAATAAGCGGTTTGAGGGAGCGGGGGAACTGGCGGATGCTCTGAAGGCACAGGAAGACTCTGGAAAGGAGGCAAGGAGAGAGGGTGCGTGCTGGGAGGACCAGCACCCGCAATTCAGTCCCAAACCATCTCCTGCAGGCAGGTGGGCACTGGGCCTAATGGAGACTCCGTGGCTTGTGAGGTTGCCTGGCGGGCAGCCACAGTTTCACATAAAGTGATTTGGGGCCCATTTAATTTCTAATCATGAGGAATTTAGAGGAGCTGAGCATCAAGCAGGACCTCCTGTCCTTGTGCTATTAATAGTGCCTGGGTTCTGGCTGGAACCTTGTTTTCCTGATCTCGCGCCGTTGTTTATCCGCGTAAGTCGCTGGAGAAGGTTGCTTTTTCATCTTCTCAGTCCTCCCTTCATGCACCTGCACACTGTGTCCCAGCTAGTACTGTAGAAACGGGGTTTGCAATCTTCCCCTTGAATCCTGTTCTCACAGGTGCAGGGTGATGGTCTGCATCCCTCCTGGGCTGCAAGAGAAGGACCCGATTCCCTCCTCACCAGCAACGGACACCGTGATGGGGCGGACAGGGAGTCACATGACACACGGGCTTACGCAGAACAGGAGGAGTACAGGTTGAGCCGACAACAGGAAAAGATACTCTCACCCAAGGCAATTAGCCCAGCACAAGCTGTGAGGGCTCTTTATCTTCCTAAGGAATGTTTCCAGGGCCAAGGCCCATTCTTACGTGGTCGCATGAGAGTTGAAAGGCTGCATGCTCATGACTGCGTTCCTCAACAACTGCCTCACAGAGTCTTGGGATTCTTAGAGTTGGAGGAATCCCATCTGTTCCGCTGCCCATGTAACTGCCCACTGCCTGCTATGCAGAACTTGGCTGTCACACACTGAGATGCTCCATGAGCTGTCCCAGTCCTATGCCGTGTCCCAGTGAATCCACCCAGTTACCAACCATTCCTGGGTCTGATTCAAACAGCTACTAAGGCAAAATGCTAACACTTGAGAGACGGAGTGTGTGAACCAACAACAGCAAAATAAGACTAAATATATAACAATAGGGGTCTGACCCACGAGGACTGCAGCAACCAATCCAGGAGGCCAAACCTCAACCCCTGTAGCGATCAGCCCAGAACCATCAGGACTTGGTCAACGACTGCCAGCTTCCCTACTTTTTATCCCTGCTTCCAGTGCGGGATCAGCCCGAGAAAGTCAAATATGCTCCCCCAACCAATCACATAAGATGCCCTGCCACTAGTTAGTCTGCCCTCCGCTTCCCCAAGCCAAACCCCTCCAATCAGAGCACACCTGAAGCCTTCTCCTCTTTGCACTATGAAGCTTTTCTACTCCCCTACCTGCCTTTAAGTCTCTATCGAACACCAGTGAAGGCGGCTGGGCCCCTTGCCATAGAGAGCTCTCAATAAATAGCCTCTGTTCTCATTGAGTATTCTTTATTTCCACACATTAGTGGACAATACATTAAATAAACTTGGATTTATCTCCTGGATATCATGGACTTGGTGAAATAAAATTCATAACTAGAATGTGTTGAAAATAATCTGAAGGGAGCAGAACTACATTTTGATATTTTTTTCCCTCAGTTTTATTGAGTTACAATTGACACAAAATATTGAATTTGTTTAAGGTATACAACATAATTTGATATATGTATATATTGGGAAATAATATATAATAAGTTTGTATCTCTCACCTCACATAGTTACAAATTTTTTCTTGTGATGAGAACTTGTAAGATCTCTCTTAGCAACTTTCAGATATTCAGTACAGTATTGTTAACTATAGTTGTATATAACAATATAGTTAATTATTGTATATTTGAAAGTAATGGACATATTGTACATTATATCCCCCAAATGTATTTATCATACAACTGGAAATTTGTATCTTTTGACCACCTTTACCCATTTCTCCAACCCCCTACCCTTGGCAAACACCAATCTGTTTTCTGCTTCCATGGGTTTGTTTTCTTTTTTTTGCACATATAAGTGAGGCCATACAGTATTTGTCTTTCTTTGATTTATTTCACTTAGCATAGTGCCTTCAAAGTCCACCCATGTTGTTGCAAATGGCAAGATTTCCTTCTTTATGGTTGATACTATTCCATTGTGTGTATATACATAAATATATAAATATATATATAAATATATATATATATATTTTTCTTGATCCACTCATCCATCAATGGACATGGATTATTTCCATGTCTTGGCTATTATAAATAATGCTGCTGTGAACATGAGAATGCAGATATTTCTTCAAGACAGTGATTTTACTTCCTCCAGTTATATACCCAGAAGTAGAATTGCTGGATCACATAGCAATTCTATTTTTAATTTTTTGAGGAACCTCCATACTGTTTTCCATAGTGACTACACAAATTCCCATTTCCACCAAGAGTGCACGAGGGTTCCCTTTCCTCCATATCCTTGCCAACATTTGTTACCTCTTGTCATTTTGATGGTAGCCATTCTAACACAGGTGTGGGATGATACTGCACTGTAGTTTTGATTTGTATTTCCCTGATGATTAGTGATGTTGAGCACCTCTTCATGTACCTGTTGGCCATTTTTATGTCTTCTCTGGAAAAATGTCTATTCCGTTCCTCTGCCCATTTTTTAATCAGATTTTTTGTTCTGCTATTTCACTGTATAGAAATGAAGTTTTAAAAAGTGTTTAAGTAATATGAAATCCACGGTCATGGTCACAGCAGAGAACACTTGGGGAGAAAAGAAAAGAGAAAGGCACATCCTGTTTCTGCAGAACATGCAACAGTGCATCAAGCCAGAATGAAGACCAGGGCAGTATTTTCATGAAGTAGATTATAAAACTGGCAAAAAGACAAATTCTAGTAAAAGATGTGATTATGAAATATCTGGAATGTCTAATTCTTTCCAAAATAAAGAGGTACATTTCTGATTTGCTTTGTTAATATTTTAGGGGTAAAAGAAAACCACAAAACCAAAAAGATTATGTGGAAGTGGAGGAGGAATCAGAACTAACAATCTCATTAAAAAGCTTGGAAAATATGGGAGGAATGGAATGAAATGAATTGAATTGAATGAACTGGAGAATGCACAGCTCTGCAAGCAAAAGACAAGGAAAGATGGCTGGATCTTGGCAGAGGTTTTCTAGGGTCTTGAAAGAGTCAGCTGGATCACTGTTGGAAACTTCACAGCCTGTTTTTTTCCTTCTATTCAGCATTATAGCTACAAGAGTCCCCGCATCTACATATAAAGCAGTGAAGACTGGAGTTACGTTATTTCAGCATATGGCCTTATTTATGATATGCTAATATTGGTAGATATTTTGGGCAGTTAGGGCTAAAAACTGAAATAAGAAAAGCCAGCACCTACGCTCTACTACAGTTATATTTCCCACTTAGAGTTAGTGTTTTCAAGTTGCCCACACTTCATTTTAATCAACTTTTTTTTACATTGTTCTATTATCACTTTACCAAATCAACCTATGAAGTTTGTATTAAAAAGCAATATTACTCGTGATTTCAGCAGCTCAGGAATCAGTCCTTTCTCACTAGAGGGGAAGAAATGAATCCTGAGATAAGGGGCCAAGTCTTAGGTCTTCCAAATGCATTTCTCAGCATGCGTGCATTCCAGAATTTTCAGCTATATCTGCAATTTTAATATAACAGCCAATAGTATGAAGAGAAGATATTGGAAAAATCATCTCAGATCACCTCTACATCAAGCAAATTATTAGCATTGCAGACTGATAGTTTTTTCATTTGAAGATTGAAATGATTCTCTTTTTCAACAGGTAAATATAATTCACTAAATAAATATTTGCTATCATTAAATAATACTTGCCTATTGACTATGTGCAAGAGACTATGATTGCTACTATAAAACAGGCTGAATGAAAGATCGAAGATTTAGTCTCCAAGTTTATTAAGTGTGGAAATATTTTTCCCTGTTTCTGCCAATCAATGTTTCTCTCAGAGGCATCCAATCTGTATATCTTAGAATGCCATAAAAATGGTTACACATTTACTTATTTAACACAACTTCTTTGAAGAAGCATTGGCCAAACTGATCCACCTTTTTACAATTAATAATCAAACGTGGTTCTTTTTGGGAGGAATTATCTCAAAAGTATATTTGAAGTAGTCCCCAGAAACACAGCCTGACCAATAGAAGATGTTGATTCTATGAAGTTCCCCGTTTGTTTAGTAGGTATGAGCATCGGGAGTCTCATGAAATGCCTGCTAGGGTGCCACCTTTTCCACCAAGTCTCATGGTTACAAACATAAAAATAGAGAGAAAGGTGCATCTTAGAATCCAGGTAATATAAGGTTCTTATAAATATACATATACATACATATATAATTTGTATTTTTTCTCATAAGCACATCTCCATATATTTTAACCTCTCAAACACACACACACACCACCACCACCATCATCGTCGTCATCTATGTGGGAAAACCTCCAACATCACAGTAAGTATATTTCAGTCTCACATCCTGATTAACACATGTCATCAATAGGAGCACAAGTCTCACGTAAGCGAAGCAATTTTCACAGTTTGGGTGCCGTTCTCCCTTCTTTAGATATTACGGTGCAAATAAGAATTTCAGTGCAATGATTATCATGGGAGGTTTAAATTTATGACAGTCAGGAAATTCCCAGAGTAGATGAAGAACTTCTAAACATCACATGTACACACGAAGGCCAAGTGTAAACAGCTGTGGTGATAGTAACGTTGATTTTCATTGTGTTGAGAGGTATTTAAATCATGTCACAAATGGAACTGGATTCTTTTTATGTTGATTTATAGAATTTTAATTATTCAGGACGAGCCACTTTCTAAAAATCATTGAAGAGTTTAGATGTGACATTTGCGGGGAAGGGGGGAGTCAAACATGGCTCCTAACCACAGGAGAAAGATAAAAGGCAAAGGAGAAAAGATAAACAAGAATAGAAGATGACATAGCCATCTGTCAGCCTCCCAAAGGAGATGTTGGTTCTCATGATGGTGTTGCCTGTTTTCTTTTTCAATGCTTTACCCGGCTGCATGCTGCTCAGTTAGCAGCATTTAGGTACAGGATTGACACAGACTGATCATAGGTGACTGCCTTTAGGAATCCCTGACATATAATCTGGCTTGTCCACTAGCAGACTTTGGAAAGTGGTTTTAATCCAGGCTAAGAATCTCAATGTTACTAAGAGAAGACAGACTTTTTACATACGTACATACATGCATACACACTCACATACATAAATAACTCTATATATTTATCTATATTTCAAATGCAGGGCAAAAGATACTATAGACAAAGTAATTACATAAATTAAAGACTTGTGGTTCCAGCAGATAGCATAACTGGGTAATCTTAAACTAACCCTAGCAATCTGGATAAAATGTAGTGTTTTTATAAGTGAAGAGAAGTCTCTGTAAGGAAAGAAAATCTCCAGATGCTAGAAAGGTCGAGGGAACTGAAGACCTGAGAGTTAGGAATGTGTTCTGATGAAGCAGTGAGGCTCGGGGAGGGTTAAATCACAGCAGCTCAGGGCTGGACTGGCTCTTCGAGGCCGGTTCAGAGCACGGCTGCTGGGATAAGACTTGTGCTTTATGGCGTCCCCATCCAAGCGGCGTTGGACAGCTTCTCCATCTGGATGAAGAAGGAAGAAAACTCTTCAGCTGGACCGAGGTGGGAGTGGGAAGGAAAAGGGAGGCGAGCAATGGCTCGCTGCCTCGTGCAGGATGGAGGAGTGGAGGCTCAGGTGGAGGAGAAAACAGGCAGGTGCGACTAGGATGGGTCCGGGGGACAGAGTGAAGAGTTGAGACCTCTTCCTCTGACCCTGGGAGGTCGCAGCAAACGTTGATGAGGAGCAGAAAGGGACCCAGGCAAGAGCCTGGGCTGTGACCCAGAAGCAGAAGAGAAGGCTTTGAGCAGAACCACCCCCTACTCAGCACGTGCCAACGTAGCAGGAGGCGGCTCCCGTGCAGAGGCCTGTGGCCTTGCTCTCGGCTGCCCGGCAGTCGCAGCTGAGCGGTGAGTCAGCACCAGGCAGTCACTCACCCTTTTTGGAAGCCAAGTCTCCAGTCATTTCTGAAAAAAGAAAAATGATTGAGGAGGAGCTGGATTTTTCCCTTCGGAACGGATGTGAGTGAACCCATTTGGTGTTTTACTAATAAAAGCAATCACCTCTGGAGAGCAGCGCGGGGCTGAGGAACACGCGTGGCCCATCAGTGACGCTGCTGCCCCCCGGAGCCACAGGATGGGCATGTCTGCCTGCCCAGCAGCAGCGCCTGAGGGTCTGTCAGTGCGGCGCCCCCCCCCACCAGGAATACATTTCAGAAAGCCGGCGGGGCTTTCACGCTCTTACAGGGCCAGAGTGCGCCTGCTCACCCACCACATACACTTCAGGCACAGGTAAGAAGGGAGTCTGGGCCATCTTCTGTCCCCGCAGGCCCCTCTCCACACCCCCAGGGCCTCCACCTCATTTCCCGGTGGCCCAGAACTCCACACCCCAGGCGCTCGCTCCCCTTTCCCCACACCTGTGTCCACCCTTCTGGGCAGCACCTCCACACGTGAGCCAGGTACACGTACAGGCCCTGTACTCAAACATCCTGGTTCAAATCCTGGCTCTAAGGAACCACTTACTGGCCATGAAAACCTCGAATGGGTTCTTAATTTCTTTAAGCTTCAATTTCTTCATCTAGAAAACAGGAAATAAATTATTATCCTGGGGTCATGGTGAGAATCAAATGTAATCATCTGTATAAAACACATACCACAGTATCTGCTGTATAAATGCTCAATAACCATCACTGCCATCATCCCTGTCACTGTCTCAGGTTCTTTTCCCCACTCAGATCACCCCTGCTCTGTGTCACACAGAGCCAGACAACAGCCCCACCACACGTGCTGTTCCCCAATGTTGTTCTGCTAAAACCAAGGTGTGCCAAAAGCAGAAGACTCGGACAATGCCAGGACTAAGAAGGAATTATTGACCAGATCTTTTCAAATATTTAGAACCAAGCAAAGCAGGTTTGGATGTACATATTTATTATACTATTGGTCTATCTGATGGGAAGATGTGATACACACAGTCAGGGTGCCCTAAGCATTTTTAGCCAAATAAATGACTCTCGAAATATTTCTGACCCGCAAACCAAGCCACGTGTTCCTTCTTTATATTAGGTGGCTTCTAACCTGCTTGAAGCAGGAGAGCCACCTTGGAATCCAGTCTAGCGTGGGAGAGAAGATCCGTAAGCAGGTGACTGTGGCATCACGTGGTAAGGCCACCATTCAGACAAACAACGAACATGGTAAGGACAGCTACTGCTTGCTGAGCTCCCCCTGCGTGTCTGGCATTATTCTAGCCAATTCCTGTATCTCAGCATACTTAATCCTTATAACAACTCTCCAGGAAGGTATTACTACCCCAATTACGCAGATGAGGAAATGAAAGCTACGTGGTTCAGAGTTTTCCAGTGAGCAAGTGGCAGCGCGACTGCAGTGACTTCTAATTTAGGTCCACTTGACTCCCGCATGGCCCCTCAAGTGCCTTAAACACCTGGGCCACGTCCTGGCTCGAGGGCTCCCATGGCTGCTCTCTCTGCCTGGAATGCTCTTCCTCCAGGTATCGGATGTCTCTCTGCTCACCTCCTCCCAGCGTTTGCTCAGTGGGGCCTTCCCTCAGCAGCGTGGGTGCCTGGGAGGCAGGGAGACGGTGACTGTCCCAGAAGCAGGTGTGAGGGTGAGGAGGCTGGTGAGTCATTACGCGTGTGCGAGTCTGAGGAAGCGACAAAGTGCCGAGTCACACGGAGCAGGGATAGGCATTCCCCGAAGAGGGGCGGACTGTGCCCACAGGCCTGGCCCTGGGCAGCTTTTGGAAACAGGTGAACTGCTTTCTAACTCCAGGTACCCAAGGCCCCTGTGTTCCTGACATCTTTTCAAATCTCTCAGGGAACGTCCTGATAAATTTACTGAGTCCTAAAACACTAATTTGTGTGATGCATTAGCCAACCTGAGGGCTCTTTCTTTTCATATGGGAATGGGTCTTAAGCCATAAGATTGAATCTCTAATGGTGGATTTTTCTAAGTCAGTGACAAATCGGGTGAGGACACACTTCCCTACTCCCCCACCCCCAGGACCTCATAGGTGGCTTTCTGATCCCCTATGTGCTGACTCAAGCAATTTTTGAAATGTACTCAGCAAAAGGTGGACAGAAAAATTCTTTGTGACCAACTACCCATCGCTCAGAAAATTTCAGTGGCTCAAACGTCCCAGCCCCTCACCCTCTGAGCATGTTGGTAATCAGGGTTACTGTATAATGTGAAAATTTCCAAATAGAACTAAACTCAGATCTATTAATATACATGATTAAGGTTTCAAATATAGCACTGCTTTATTTTCATGGGGGGCTATTTCTGTGTGGTGATTGCCTGGCTGATTTGCAATTTCAGAATAAAACAGCTCTTCTCCATAGCTAACGGGAAACTTGGCAGGGTGCTGCACACCCAGGCCCTCGCTGTGAAAAAGTCTGTTCAACAGCGGTGAGTGCTCTTCTTCTGAATTACGTAAGCAGGGCCGACAAAAGGCAACAGCACAACTCCAGATCCTGCTCAGATGAAGTAGTGTCTGTTTGGTTTCTCTTTCGGTGCTGGAGGAATACTGACTCTTCTGGCGATAATGAGCCTGTCTCCCTACAGTATCTCAAATTAAATACACTATGGTACAGATTAGGAATAAATCCCAATAGAGATTTCTCTGACACGGGATTCACAAGTAACTAAAAGATGCTTGAGTAAGAATGATGTAAATAAATGCATAACCGTGGTGACTTGAACCAAAGAGGACCTGCCTGAAGCAAACTCTATGGCTGTGATAAGCAAAACATTACCATCTCCAGCTAATAGAGAAAAGCAGGTTTATGACCTACAGCGATCTCAGCGTCATAAAGCAGCTTTTCCAGTCCCATGGCAGGCAATACAACCCACCTCGGAGCCAGGCCTTTGTACGTAAATATAATAAAATGGCTCTATTTTGAGGCAGCTTAGAGAATGATGGTCTTTGGAGTCAAAGTTCAAATCTCGGTTCCCTCAGCTATAAATTTTGTGACTTTGGACAATAAGGCTTAGAGAAGCTTTCTCATTGGTTGTGCCAAGAATACAAGGCTGCTCTTTGCTGGGGCCGTGTCTCAAGAGGGCTGAGTTGGAGCAAGAAACCTTCAGGGATGGGGACACGTCTCCCGCTGGGACAACAAACAGGTTTGCTTGCTGTTTATTGTCAAAGTGGTGGATCCCCCAGTGTTCCTCTCCTCTAACACAACCCATGACCAAGCAGGCAGCCATCTGCCTCCACGTCACCTCTGTGGGACCCGAGGAGCAAGAGGGACAGACATGCTGACGCCCATGCTGTTTGCTGTGCTGTGAGCGATGGCGTCTTTTGCTTCTCGCCCAGGAGTCCTGTGTCTTTAACTTATTACTTATAAACAGGTAAAATCAAATCCCAAACCCAACCGTAGGTTGCTTATAAAAGGAAAATCCTAAATATAAGAATCTAGAAAGTTTGAGTGGGAGAATAGGAAAAATACTGCCATGCAAAACGCAGCCAAATGAAAGCAGGCATAGCTATATTAATGTTAGACAAGGTAGCCTTTAAGGCAAGAAGCATATCTGGACTTAAGGAGAGACATTTGTAAATAATAACAGAAAAAAATCCATCCATCAAAAGGTATAACAATTCTGTGTTTGCATGCTTTTAATAACATGGTCTTAAAATACACAAGGTAAAACTGGATAGAACTGAAAGAAGAAATAAACAAACCTATAACACACTCAGATTCTTGTTTTAAAAACACTTCTCTCAGTAACTGATAGAACAAGCAGACAAAAAAAAAAGTGAGAATATAAGGGATTTGAACAAAATAGTTAACAAACCTGACCTAGTTTTTATGTGTATATATATAAAATGGTGCCCAACCATGACAGAGTCCACAATCTTTTCAAGTGCATGTGAAATACGTACCACAGAAGTCCTGACACATTTCAAGAGATTATCATCATACAGAGTATGTTCTTTGACCATAGTGGAACAAAGTTAGAAATTCGTAACAAAAAGATAAGATGCCCAAATGCTTGGAAATTAAGAAATCTACTTCTTAAAAGCCATTTAAAAAAATTAAGATGAAATTCATATAACATAAAAGTTAACTATTTTAAAGTGAACAATTAAGTGGTATTTAGTGCATTCACAATGTTGTGAAACCACCACCTCTATTAAGTTCCAAAATATTTCAAAGAAAATAGAGGAAATGGGTTTTAAAAAGTCACAATGGAAATTAGCAAACATCTTGAAGTGGATGTTAATGAAAACATGATACGGGATGTGTGAGATATAGCTAAAGCTCTGCAAAAAAGTTATTACACGTTATTTTTGCCTATATAATACCGAAAATTCAGCTGAAGTGGACCTACAAAAACATAACTTACTGAAACCAACACTACAAGAAACAGAATCGTTCTATATCATTAAATAAATTAAATCTGAAATTTAAAATCTTTTTACAAAGAAATCTTGAGATTTAAGTGACTAGTAAATTATTCTAAATGCTGAAACAAGAAATAATATCACTTTTGCAAAATCTCTTCCAGGAAAAGAAAAAGAAAATACTTTCAAGTCAGTTTATGAGGTCAGCATAATCTTGATACCCAATGTGATAAAAATATCATCATCATCATCATAATTATAGACCAATCTGTCATAAACATAGATGCAAGAATCCTAATAAAAATATTAGTAAACTTAACACAGCAATTGTTTTAAAAATATTAGGAATGTAAGTTTGCTTTAATATTTGATAAGCCAAATCAATTTGAGGACTTCTGTTTCTACTCATGAAATAGTAACTCATCATCCCACTATAATCAACTAAAAAAACTAGACAAAATATATGAAGCGACGAATTTTCAGACACCAAAACAGGCAGCATAGGTCTGTGATCCCTGAAAGAAAGGAAATAAAACAAGCTGAGCCCAGTCCTGGCTTTTTGCCCAGAGGTAACCTCCAAACAGCAGCACAGGGAAAGGGAACCCAAACAGAAGCCCAGCAGCCTCACTGACTCAGGAACTAGAAACCTGAGGAGGCTGACTGGGTAGAATCTGGGGGAAGAGTCTATGACAGAGTTATGTGTAGAAAGAACTCTAGAAATCTGAAGAGGGGTCCCCTCCAGTCCTTGGCTGAATACGCATCCACACAGGCACAGGGTGAAAATCCATGAAGTTAATCAAAGAACAACTACCTGGGAGCTATAAGCTAAACATGTCCCAGAGCTCATACGAACATAAAGGTTTAAATGTCTACCAGCTCGGGTGGAGATGCCTCACTGAACACCTGCGACAGTGACCAGAGAAAGGTTACAATTTAGTGATAGAGCTAAACTAGTCCTACAGTAAAGGTACTCTACACCTGAGCAACAAAACTTCAAAACGAACATCAGAAAGATTGACTTAATATCCCAAGTAACTTCCTGCCAAAACAAACTTCAGCTGTCTTTAGGGTAAGACAACAAAATCCAAACGTTCAACAACTTGGCATTTGTAATTTCCAGTATTCAACTAAAAAATTATTAGGCATGTAAAGAGTAGAATTTTGGCCCATGACCAGAAGAAAAAAAAATCAATAGAAAATTAAATGAGTGAACTTCACCACATTAACAGAATAAAGGAGAAAAGGCATATAATAGCATTGGTGGATACAGAAAAAGTATTTGTGAGAATTCAATATCCACTGATGTTAAAAAAAAAAAGCCACTTGGCAAACTAGGAATAGGAAGAAAATCTTAAGATCTGATACAAGGTATCACAAAAACCTATAGCAAATACTTGCTATAACTTGCAAACTATAACTATAACTTGCTATAACAAGCAAAAACTTGATGGTGAAATACAGAAAGCTTTGTCCTAAGATTGCGAGGAAACAGATACTTGTTTTGATTACCTCTAATCAGCATTGTAATGGAGGTCAATAGGGCAATAAGGCAGAAAAGGGAAGTTAAAGTCATATAGCTTAAAAAAGAAATAAAATTAGACCAGGTGTATAAAAAAGGAAGTTAAAAACTATAAAGAACAATGGAATACTACTCAGCCATAAAAACCGACAATATAATGCCATTTGCAGCAACATGGATGCTCCTGGAGAATGTCATTCTAAGTGAAGTAAGCCAGAAAGAGAAAGAAAAATACCATATGAAATTGCTCATATGTGGAATCTAAAAACCAAAAACAAAAAGCATAAATACAAAACAGAAATAGACTCACAGACTTAGAATATAAACTTGTGGTTGCCAACAGG